CCACTAGTAGGATTATCATCTACTTAGGATTGATAACATTGTAACTCTTTTAGGAGTCTGGGCGTTCCCCAACACTTTAGGTGGCGACCTTATCATCACTGCTATTGTGACGTGCATTATAACGTGGGTCATTTCCCCTTCTCTTGCTATGAGAGATCTTCTCATCGGGTAAGGCTTTATCCCAGCAACATTCTCTATTGGTCCCTACAGGTCACCATTAAGGATAAAACCATCATCCTTGCCAGAGTCCCCTATGGGCATTCCCGCCTGGTTGGGTCATCGTCCATTATTCGTGACGGATCCACACGATAGAGTTCATCGTGGTGCTGACTACCACCTTTGTAAACCTACTACAGCACGCTATCGATCTTAGGTGTAGCGCTTCTTCATCAGCTCAGAGGAGGGTTCATGGTAGGCCTCGCCTTTGCTATTGTAGGGAGGATACACTCAATCAATCTGTCGACAGCATTGGCCTTAGGTGATCGCTCTGCCGATATCCATCTTCCTGGCAGCTGCAGAGGCTAGAGCTTCTGGTGCCCTATGGCATAGGACCACTTTGGTCGGTACCTTCTTTAAGTACCCTATGGGGTACTAGCCATGTCTATAGGTATGGTTAAAAGCCCTCTTTGGGGGCTTGGGCGCTACCCTATGCGCGAACATTGCGTTATGGACTCTCATTAATCAATACACTCTACGATTGTCTGAGGGGGAGCAGAAGGTCGAGTGCTCTGGTAGTGCTTATCTCCCTAGCTGTGAGAATATCATACCCTTCTGGATAGATTACACATCCTACAGTACTGAAGGCAACAGTGAAGGGATGCCCCTTCTTACAGGGAAGGGCAATACTTCCCTTAGGGGCATTGATGGTACTATTAAGTAAAGCAAGACTCTCAACATGCCGCCGCTGTTTAGGGCCTTAAGACGACCATGGTTCTGTTGAGCTAATGGTAGCATGAGCATCGATTTGTCTGTGAGTCCCATGTTCTTCTTGTAGTCACAACTTAAGTTGTTACCCTGTTTAAAGAGGATTGCGTTCATACTGGATACACGATGCCACATATCTTAAGTTTTTCATCGACGTTTTGGTGTTGTTGTTTCTGCTCCTTCCCATCATATGACACGTGAGGTCCGTGATTCAGATCGTGATGCTGCCAGGGAGCCTTGTCCAGATAGGATCGTAGAGGATCTTGGTACTCCTCCCTATGCTCACTTAGTCGTCGTATTAAAGTCGTCTTTAGGTGGGGCCTTTGGTATGGGTTGTGTTGGTGGTTTCCTATGGCATTTTGTGAAAGGCGCTCGTAACTCCCCTCGAGGGGAACGATTGCATGGTAAGGGTGATGCAGGTGCTAAGGAGTAGTCTCATGGCTTACATAGGTGCATTGTATTCGGCCAAGACACGGGCACCGATTCTAGGCAGTAGTTTTGCTGTTTGGGGTGGTACCTTTTCGGCATTTGATTGCAGTCTACAGTAGTATCTCTTAATCGTTGTACATGTAATCCTGGTTGAAGGTACATCCGTCAGAGGGATGATCATTGGAACGCTATTGCGTCTGGATTCCTCACTGGAGGTGGCTAATATGGAAGATAGTGACACTATTGAGACTCTCACGAGCAATAACACATGCTTATCGTGGCGTGAAAGAGTTGTATGGTGAATAGTCGTGTGAATGA